TTAATATCTCGAGAAGGAAACGTTCTTTTCAGCTGAAATTTTCAGGGTATTCTAGTCCCATATAGACCTCACTGTGGGCAAAATCTCAGGTCGAAATACTGCCACTGGATTTATTTCTACATACCCTGTCATAGGCTAAAATTCCAGTATATGGCCTGTAACTCGGGACAGAAGGCCTAGCGGCCCTTATCCTTTTGGGGTTTTTCATACCTCACTAGGGTCTACTTTATGCATGGGACCCGAACTGAAAAGCGATTGGACAGTTGGGGCGGTTCCCTCGTGAGTTAACATAGAGACATTTATAGTTTCCCTTTGATTTCTTCTCTAAATTAACTTGAAATGTTTATCAGAAAGAATTCTGAGAAACTTTGAATAAATGTTTGAAAATTGAAATTTGTATTTGAATAAATATTTCAAAAAAATAGATCAGCAATGACATATCTACAGAATTATATTTTGAAAAAACCAGTTAGATAATTAAAATTCACTTGAGAAAGGCGAGTGAAACGTTCAAAATTCCAAAGAAACAAATTTGATTGAGAAAAATTTCTTCTTTTCTCTTGATTATTTTTCCTTAAATAAAGAAATAATTTCTTTTATTCAACTGTTATCTTTGATACAATTTATTCAGATCTTCCACAAGACTTTTTAACAAAAAGTAATAAGAAAATATTGTATCTAAAATGATCAACATCGATGTTTTAAACAAAAATATTTTAACAATGTCACAATTTATATTTCATATGAAAATTAATAAAAATCATTTCTAAAATCAATGTTAACTAACATTTCTAAATGTCTTTTTCATGAAAAATTTCTTTAAAAAACTTTATTTTTCTACTATGAATATATAAATTAACAATTTTATTTCGTTTACAGTTCTTCTCTAATATTCTTTATATTTTTCTTGTTTTTAGCTCTTTCATTCAATCAACCAAAGTTTTGTTCAAATGCCAGTTGGTTTTTCAATGGAACTACCTTTGCTAATCAATCGGTTGTTGGCCGAACTGCTCGCGCTATTTTTGTAAACAAAAACAACAAAATCTACGTTGCTAACCAAGAAAACAACGCAATTCTAATGTGGGATGAAGAGAGTGTCAATCCAAAAAACATCATTTCTGGTAATTTTACAGAACCGAATTCGCTCTTCGTGACATCAAATGGTGATATTTACATTGATGATGGTGAGAAGAATGGTCGAGTACAGAAATGGATAGCAAAAACAAATACCTTGGTCACAGTGATGAATGTCAACTCATCGTGTGATGGTTTGTTTGTCGATATGAATGATACTCTTTATTGTTCAATGTCTAAGCATCATCAAGTAGTGAAAAGATCATTAAATGATCCTGTGATAAATTCAAATCGTGTTGCTGCTGGAACAGGTAAATACGGATCAAAGTCGAATCAACTTAATGGTCCTCGTGGAATTTTTGTCGATGTGAATCTGGATTTATATGTGGCAGATTGTTACAATGACCGTGTTCAGTTATTCCAGTCGGGAGAGTCAAATGGTATCACAGTAGCTGGAAGTACATCACTAAATCCAGCAATTAAACTTCTTTGTCCAAGGGGAATTATATTAGATGCTGAGAAGTACTTATTCATTGTGGATAGTAACAATCATCGCATTGTTGGTTCAAGTTTGGATGGTTTTCGATGTTTAGTTGGATGTCATGGACAAGGATCACAATCCAATCAATTGTATAATCCATTTAGTTTTAGCTTCGATCATTCTGGAAACATATTCGTTACTGATGTATCTAATGGTCGAATTCAAAAATTTAATTATATGAAAAAATCTTGTGGTAAGTTGGAGTATAATCGAATGAGATGATAAGATGAGAATGTTGATAGTGAAAAGTTGTATAGTTTTCGTTAGAAAAAAACCGAAGCTCAAATCAAAAGAAAAAACTGTATATGAAACGTTTCTGATCGAAAAAAATAAAATTGTGTAAATGGAATAGGTGATTAATTTAAAAATTCTAATATAAACTAAGTAAATTTATTTAAGATAAGAAATTTCAACTGACTATAGATATTAGCCTATTAAACATTCTCACGTTCAAAATGTGAAGATCACTATCTCATCGGAAAAAAATGTCAAAGATATTGGTTGTTTTTAAAAGAATAATACACAGAACTTCTTAGACTTTACGTAGAAACCATCTAATCGACGTAAATAACGTTATGTTTTATTTGATTGATTAGAAAAAAATCCTTACGTTAGTTGAATCTAACCATTTAGAAGTTTCTCTCTCTACTCATTCGTCAGATTTTGTTTTGAATTTTAGAGTTTCATGTAAAAGTCAAACGTTGTGCCGTGCATGGCAATCAAAGAATTTGATTAAATTCTCTTCGATACTGTCCGGCTTACGTGATATTTTCTTTCTTCAAAATATCGAAAAATAAACAATATTACAGAATAAACTCAATTCATTTCAAAAACTTCGTGGTTAAGAGACAGTTTTTTTTAACTTTTTGAATGCAAATTACCAGTTCAATAGGTTAGGAGCGTATATTTAAAGTAAACAAAAATTCCTATTCAGCAAGGCTTGCATCTCTGTGTACTCACGATATACTTATATTGATTTTATTGCTCATTTAGCCAATACTTTATCGGTTCTCCAAAATACCTATTCATCATCATTGACTAAGAACAATCAAATTTATTACCGAGAGTGTGACAAACAAAATTTGTATTATGAATCTATCCAAGTGAAGGTGACTGAAACTGGTTACTACACTTTTCGTAGTAGTGGTAACATCGATTCATATGGATCTATTTACAAAAACAGATTTAATCCACTAGACCCATCAGAGGATTTGCTAGAAACAGATGATGACGGCGATTCTGTTCCTCAGTTCAAACTTGATATTTATCTTAATATTGACATGATATATGTAATGGTTGTGACAACCTTTGATTCAAAAGAAACTGGGGAATTTTCGATCGGTGTATTTGGTAAAAATAAAGTTATTCTCGAGCGTCTTAGTAAGTATATAGATATTTGTGTTATATATTTAATAATTCGTACAAAAGATATAGTATATCTTCTAAATTCAATTCCATTTTTTATTCTATAACAAGAGAATGTACTGAATTTATACTATCTAATATTGAGGCATTTTCTAGTGGGATATCTACTCTTGTGTTTTTGCACCACTATCTTAGTAGATGGATACTGTTCAGTTTCCACAAATACTAAATGAAAAATGTTCTAAAAAAATAGCCGATGAAATGTTTGAAAACATTTAAGAGTTAAATGCTGAAAATCCAAAGAGTATCTTGTCAAAGCTCAGCACCTTTAGATTTCGGTGACATACCGGTTTCAGAATACTGACTTGGAGGACTTGAGTGTGCTGCATTTACTAATCTCTATTTATAAAATTAAGTTTTCATAGAAAATCTCAAAGATTTCGCTTTTGTCGGTGTTACATAATAATTTCATGAACAAATCGTTGTTGAGCTATTTCCGTTTTTTATTAGTCAAGAAATATTTCTGAACAGAATATGGAAGACAGAAATTTGTAATAGTATCAAAATTCTATGGATAATTTGACTTTTTTCATTAAACAGGTACTCCAGTAAATATTCAATTAAGATATTCATCAAAATTAACTGATGATAATCCAACATATTATCGAGATTGTCAAGTACCACAATGTCATTATGAAACATTACAAATTCATGTCAATACAATGGGTCCCTATGTTCTTTGGAGTAAAAGCAGTATTAAAACATATGGCTATATCTACAAAAATGATTTCAATCCTCTAAAACCATCTGAAAATTTACTCGTATCACATGATGGTGAATGTAATGATGGACAATTTAAATTAATCATCGATCTCGAGGTCAACACTCGATACATATTAGTTGTGACAACACACAATCCTAAGATAATTGGGAGCTTTTCTATTTTTATCTCTGGACCAAACAATGTCAGTCTTAGTCCTTTCAGTAAGTATTTACATGTTTCATTTGATAACAAATATATAACACTATAAAACACGTGAAAAGAAGATTTTTCATACTTTTTTTTGTTAGTGAGCAATTTTTATTTTAGATTTTGAGAAAAGATCTATCGAGCTATTGAATTAACTAGTTTTTGAAATCTATGGGTCTATTGATCTGTTAGAGAAGATATTTGTTTAGTATGAATTGTTGATAGATTTTCCATATTTTGGATGTCCATACGAACAGCATTTCAGATCTTTACGGATGTGGAGTGTTTGAAGACTTGAAATCTTGGAAAAGTATTTCGATATATTGAAAAACATTTTCATTTGAAAAATAAGTAAATTATCGAAGTTGAATATTTTAATTGTCAAAACATCTGAAGTTCTTCATTATTCTGTTATTAAAATGTATCCAATATTTTAGGTCCAAAACAAAGTAGTTGTGTGATTGGTGATCAATGTAACTTCTACATCAAAGGAATTGGTTTGACACTTGATGATATTTTACGTGATGAACTTCAATCAAATACAGTGTTGACTAATCAATCATTTTTGATTAAATTAAGTGCAGCTTTAACAATAATTATGTTTGGCGCAGGATTAATCAATAGTATTCTTTCTTTTATTACATTTCAATATAAAGATTCTCAACAAGTTGGATGTGGAGTGTATCTAATGGCATCATCGATCACTTCTCTTTTGGCAATTGGTATGTTCATAATCAAATTTTGGTTTGTTGTTTTTACTCATATCAATGTGTCCACTAGTCTGTCTGTTCTTCGTGGAGGTTGTGCATCTATTGAACCTATTCTAAAACTTTTTCTCTACTTGGATGGTTGGCTGAATGCTTGTGTAGCAGTTGAACAAGCGGTACTTGTTTTTAAAGGAGTAAAATTTGATAAAAAAAAGAGCAAATCTATTGCTCGACGAACAGTTCTTATTTTACTATTCTGTATTTTTGGTACACTTATTCATGAGCTCGCATTTCGCAGATTATTCGAATATGAAACAGCACCAGATACGAGTAACACTAATGAAGACACAATAAAGCGATATGTATCATGTATCACTCATTATTCTCCTTCCGTCCAAGATTACAATACAGCTGTTCTATTTTTTCATCTTGTTGGTCCATTTATTGTCAATCTTTTCTTTGCATTATTCATCATTTTTGGAGGTGCTCATCAACGATCAATGATACGAACTAACCAAAGTTTTAAAGAACATGTTCAACAACAATTCAGTGAACATAAACAATTGATCATTAGCCCAATAGTTTTACTGATTTTATCAATACCTCGTCTCATCATTTCATTACTTCCAGGTTGTGCGAAAACATCTGAAAACTTATGGTTGTATCTTGGAGCATATTTCATTTCGTTTACTCCTTCGATGCTAATCTTTCTTATCTTTGTGTTTCCTTCGAAATTGTATATGAAAGCATTCAAACAATCGTTCAATCGTATTCGACGGCGTACTCCTCCCTAATCAATCCGTTCAGTTTCAATAACATGACTATAATACTAAATATAAAAGACATGATTTATTTGTTTGCTTCTCGTGCTGAATCAATCGATGTACTGCTGCATTTGAAAATTATGTTTGGAAAAAGACATTCAATACTTACTTATAGCTCGTTGTGGATTATCATCAATTGAAATGACAACATAATAGAGACTCATGAAGAAATACTGTGCAATAATTGATGTGTCTATTAGACTAAGTGATAAAGATTAGAAGAAACTATGTCAACTTTACACGAACTATATTCTTTTGCAACATTATTCATATTTCTTCTTGTCTGTCTGTTGCATGCTTTTTGTATGACTTTATTTTCTGTAGTAAAATCGAACGAAAGTGTTCAGATATGCAGAAAGAAGGAATTGAGTATGTTTTCTATGAAACTTTACATAACTCGCTCGAACTGATACTGAAGAAATGTGTTGATCTTTTAAAAGATTTTATTCGATGGTACAATATATCTGCATAAAAAAGTTAATGGAAACCATTTTGAGGATGTGGGGTGGTGCGAGTGTGTATCAGTAAACAAAATATTCTTACTCACACCCACCATCAAGATAATGCTCTCGCTTTCGTTTGCTTTAATAACAGAATAATTATTTTGTTTCCTCAGTCATTAGATATCACAACACAAATCAGCAGAGACTTGAAGTCAGTTTTATTGATAGTCAAAAAATTAGTTAAATTTTACAATGGAATAACTGTAATATGATAAGTTTTTTCTTGGCTATCAACACAAATTCATTCCCGTCCCCGTTTATCATTCAGTTGTTCATTGCCTTTTGAATGACGTCGAAACCCAAACACAACTGCATCGTTATCTTTTTCAAATGCCGAATCAATAGCAAAATCTTTCTCAATTTCCCATTTCACGTCGGGTACAGTTTCATCAGGGTGTGGGTGCTAGGTGAATACAGTATCCGTATCCACACCCTACAATATAAGTCTTTTAAAAATGTTCGTACAAAGTACTTTTCTTTTTCGAACAGAAAACAGCAAAGTTTTACAAAATTCTTAAATCAATAGCTATTTCTCGTTCACTGATAGAAGATCTGTAACATATTAATCTTATAAAATTTTGAAAACTTTTCGATACAATACTTTCGTTCCAATAAATTCATAGCGAACATTTAACAACAAAACGTTGTATGACGAAGAGAAGCAACATTCACTGAATAAATCATATTTATTTTTCTCTTGTATTTAAATAACAAAGTGTCGCACATGTATTGGCGTACTGAAGTAATTGTGCAGATGAAGACAAGAGAGTTGGAAAGAATAGTATAAAACGAAATCATTTTGTTGGCTTCTGACTTTTTTGTTCTGTCGAAAACGTTGGTTAGAAATTTATTTGCCTGGTTTTGTCTCTTACTCTCTACAACAGTATTTTAAAAAGTAACTAATTGAAGTTTCTCTTCGAATCTTAACAACAATTTAATACATTTTGCATACTGAAAAAAACAAAGACAACACGCCATCGCCATTATCAATAAGAGCAGTGAGCTTTCTTACCATTTAAACAAATACAATTATTAATAAGCTGTTATTCAACACCAAATTATCATAAAAACAAAATGAGTGGATCCGGATCAGAGCAAAACGCTTCTTCATCATCAAACACGTTCATAAATAACAATAGCACGGCGGAACCATCGTCAGATGCTATTCAACAAAGACGACGAATATTTCAAAATTATTCACTCCTCTGGTTAGACGAGTGTATGGTCGAAACAAGCAAAGATTATGAGAATGTTTTGACACAATTAAAAACCATTACGGATAATGTCAACGTCTTTAAGCAACGAGATGTATGCATCGACTTTCTTACAGATGCTCAAGAAGACATCAGGTTATTTCTCGTTGTCAAGGATACTATGTCTCAACAAATAATGCCTCTCATTAATGATATTCCTCAGCTGCATGGTATCTATATCTTTGATGATAATAAAATTCTACCTGAAGAATTGATAAAAAACTGGCAAAAAATCAAGAGTGTTCATACCAACTTCGATGACTTATACCAAGGATTACAGTTGGGTATTAAACAATACCATCAAGACTCGATAGCCATCAGTTTTATCACAGCAAATGATATAAAGTCAGCTGATAATTTAAATCAGTTGGAACCAACATTTATGTACACTCAGCTGTTCAAAGAAATTCTTCTTAATATGAAATATAATAACCAGACTATCAAGGATTTTATTACTTACTGTCGACAGAATAATTTCGGATCGTCAGTCAATATTAATCTATTTGAAAAAGAATACCGAGCTCAATCAGCTATTTGGTGGTATACTTACCCGTCATTTATCTACTCTATGCTCAACGATGGTCTTCGAACAATGGACGCCGATATAATTATCACTATGGGTTTTTTTCTACGTGATGTACACGAACGAATTCAACAGTTATACGAACACCAAGTCAGTACTTATGAAAGAAAATCCTTTGTAGCCTATCGAGGACAAGGTCTTTTGAAATCAGACTTCGAAAAACTTCAAAAAACACAAGGCGGCTTAATATCATTTAACAATTTTTTGTCCACCAGCAGACATAAAGAAGTATCCATCGGTTATGCTCAGATTGCTTCAACAGTACCGGATAAGATGGGTATTCTATTTATAATGTTAATTGATCCTTGTATTAAATCAACACCATTTGCCTCCATCGAAAACGAGAGTCATTTTAAGAACGAAGGTGAAATTCTCTTCTCAATGCACACCGTCTTTCGAGTAGGTGCAATTGAACAAATGGACAATAATAATCAACTTTATCAAGTTGAATTACAATTAACGTCAGATGATGACCAACAACTACGATTGCTAACTGATCGGATACGAAAAGAAGTTGGTGGTACTGGATGGCAGAGACTGAGTGACATATTGCTCAAAATAGGTCAATTTAATAAAGCTGAAGAACTTTATAACGTATTACTCGAACAGACATCTGATGAGGGTGAAAAAGCGATTTATTATAATCAGCTTGGATTAGTGCGTTCGAATCAAGGTGATTATGAAAAGGCTATTTGGTATTACGAAAAAGCACTTGAAATTCAACAAAAAACTCTTCCTTCAAATCATCATGAGTTGGCTACTTTATACAACAACATCGGTAGTGTATATGCTAGTATGGGAGAGTATACGAAAGCACTTTCGTTTTTCGAAAGAGCACTTGAGATCAATCAAAAAACGCTTCCTTCAAATCATCCTAAATTGGCCGGTCCATACAACAACATCGGTTTGGTGTATGACAGGATGGGAGAGTGCTCGAAAGCACTTTCGTTTTTCGAAAAAGCACTTAAAATTAGACAAAAAACTCTTCCTTCAAATCATCCTGATTTGGCTGGTTCATACAACAACATCGGTGGTGTATATGCTAATATGGGAGAGTACTCGAAAGCACTTTCGTCTCACAAAAAAGGTCTTGAAATTGATCAAAAAACTCTTCCTTCAAGTCATCCTGATTTGGCTCTTTCGTACAACAACATCGGTAACGTGTATGAGAAGATGGGAGAGCACTCGAGAGCACTCTCATTTTACGAAAAAGCGCTTGAAATCAATCAAAAAACTCTTCCTTCAAATCATCCTGGTTTCGCGCTGTCATATAACAACAATGGTAGTGTGTATGAGAAAATAGGAGAGTATTCGAAAGCACTTTCATTTTACGAAAAAGGTCTTGAAATGAACCGAAAAACTCTCCCTTCAAATCATCCTGATTTCGCGCATTCACACATCTACATCGGTAGTGTGTATGAGAAGATAGGAGAGTACTCGAAAGCACTTTCATTTTTCGAAAAAGGTCTTGAAATCTATCAAAAAACTCTTCCTTCAAATCATCCTAATTTGGCTGGTTCATACAATAACATCGGCAATGTATATGCTAGTATGGGAGAGTATACGAAAGCACTTTCATTTTTCGAAAAAGGTCTTGAAATCTATCAAAAAACTCTTCCTTCAAATCATCCTAATTTGGCTGGTTCATACAACAACATCGGTTTGGTGTATGACAAGATGAGAGAATACTCGAAAGCACTTTCATCTCACGAGCAAGCACTTGATATCATTCAAAAAACTCTTCCTTCAAATCATCCTTCATTGGCCAATTCGTACAATAACATCGCTTTGGTGTATACAATGATGGGAGAGTATTCGAAAGCACTTTCATTTTACGAAAAAGACCTTGAAATTTCACAAGAAGCTCTTCCTTCAAATCATCCCGACTTGGCTACATCATACAACAACATCGCTTTGGTGTATTACAGTATGAAAGACTATTCGAAAGCACTATCATATTTCGAACGTGCTCTGGGCATCAGACAACGTGCATTACCCCCAAATCATCCTAGTATTAAAGATGTGAAAAGGGATATTGAAAGCGTAAAAAAGAAATTATAAAGAATAGTTGATAAATAAATAGAAGAATATTTTGTTCGCTGATGTTTGAATTAGTTCTATTTTTTAGTACCTCATATGCGCGCATAGAGAACAACTCTTTAAATAATAAACACGTAATGGACAAAGCCGACTAATAAGGTAAAACACATACATATGTATGTGTATAAATAACCTTCTCAGACTTATATGCTTCTAATTCTTTACGAGAGTGTCCCTTGTAATAAGAAGAAGAGGAAAATATATATCAGCGTAAACACGTAACGTATCATCCCAGCAGTCATCAGTCTGAAGTTATCAGTTAGACGACTTATTGCTGTCATCTTATAGAGCATAGTCCAAAGTGTGTGGAAATATATTTTGTTTTCTCAATAGTTGTTCTAAATCATATTCGATAGTTAGGAATAAAGATGTTACTAGTAGCTTATGAGAAATCTTCTGTTTAGCCCATTTATTAATTCATTCCATTTATTCAAATAGCTGGATATATATAACACTGATTAAGACTATAATGACAGATGTATGTTTTAGCAAAACATTAGGTTTTCTCTGTGTTATTCCTTTTCCGAGCTAGCTCACCCAAAACTACTCTATTTATAATGTCATCGGGTAACGAAAAGTTAGTATTGTTTATTTGTCGACACTAAGTGGCAACATTCTCTTTCTTAAAATATATGCATAAGGCTAATTCTTTATGAGCTCCCAATGCAAATGTTTTTATTTTTGAAAGGTCCTACTTTGTAATATTTTTCCGTAACAGGTAGGTGAGAGTGTGGATGTGGATATGGGCGTGGATCTAGATATCTATCCTTCAAGAACAACCATACTCACACCCACACCCACGTTCAAGATGGTTTTCTATAAAAGATAATATAATAATAAATTGATTCAACGAGCCCGCCGTAGTATAATCAGTTCGTTCTTGAGTAACTTTATCTAGTATAACAAGACCATCTAGTGGCCAGAAAACGAAAACGTCCAATTATAGGATCAAACGTAGATCTAGCTTTCATTCGAATAACTATACTTGATATAATATCGCCAGTCGAACAACCCTATAACAAGGAGAAACAATCTTTATACGATAATAATTTATATCAAAATACAAGTATATTAAGTTTAGAACGATTGACTGTAACTCTTCTGTTAGCCAATTGCCGTATATATCCTTGTGTGATTTGATCGAATAGCGTCATCACGAGTGCTGAATAAAATTTATTTATTATCAACAGCATATTTATAATGGAAAACAAACCACGGTAATTCATTTCGGCTGCAACTCGACACATATTAGATGATAAAAATAAGCCAATATCAGCAAATATCATGTCTGCTTCATTGCAGACAACTGTTCGACAACAACCATCGAGACTAACTAGTAAACCTGCTTTCGACATTTTCACCAATAACAATCTGCTCGGTTGTTCGAAACTTTTTCAAACGATGAACGACAACCATTTGAAAAATATCCCGTAAAATTTCCGTCATTTCAGATTTCCCATAAGCTAAAATAAAATCTTTTGACAACATAAATTGAAACATATTTTTTACGCTTACAAGAACGTGCTACAATCATATTATATAAATTTGTTGACATTTTATTGTCCGTACGATTAGCACGTAAACCGTACGACAAGTCAAGTGTTGCACAAACACAATTGATCAGTATACTAGCAAGTGAGTCAGAATGTATTCCATGTATATTAACTAATTCATTGATATACTGTTCCAAAGCAGAAGGAAACATTATTCCGGTAACAATAGGAGATAAACAAATAAATAAATAAATAAATAAATAAATAAATAATACGTCGAACATGAGGCCTTTCAAATTAAGCTTCTTATTCAAGCGATTTTTCTTAATTTGATTTAATTCAATTTTTGTTTTTCCATGATCCTATATTTTGCGTTATTTTAATGTTCTTTAGTGCATTGTTGAGATGTTTTATTATGTTTTTACGTATTTTTATGTATTTGTATGTATGTGTCATATTGTATGGTGTTTTAGTTGTTGGCGTAGTTGTTTTAGACGAAGAGGAGTTAGAGTGGAACAAAATAGTTTTTCAAGTAGTGGGAGTAGATTATATAGAATAACCATACAATGATAAAAGGAGACATTTTTCATATATTTAAGAGAAAAAAAAATATTACATAGAAAAGTTATCAGGAAAAAAGGAAATTACTTATACAGGGGAAAATACGTAATTAAGTGAATTAATAAAGTTATAGGAAAAAAGAGAAAATTCATGAATAGAAGAAGTAACAAGACTAAAAAATTACAACATTGTTTGGGATAGATAATATCGTAAGATATTTTACATTAACTGTGATAGACTATTTTTATAATCAATAGATAAAGTCAAAGAGAATGGATTTTACAATGACTTTGTATTAGTTAAGATTCAGATTTGGATAACTGCGAGTTAGTATTTTGTGTTAATAATTTTTTCTTTCTGTTTTTTTCAACATTAATAGCTTCTTTAATACCTTGTGTTAATTATATTGATTGGATATTCATTTTCTTTGAGTACCTTTCTTTTTCGTTATTAATATGTACATCATTAGAACAAATTCGTCAGATTCTAATGTGGAATTATTTAAATAGTTCTAGTTTATATTTTCGTGCTTGATTACTGCCAAATAATAGACATAGATTTGTAGATGTTGATGTTTGGTAAATTGTTATTGTGTAACTTTGTTATTTACTGGTCACTGATTCATCGACGAAATCCAAACGTTCGTTCTCTTCGTGTTCAATCGTAAAATTAATATTATTGTGCCACTTGTTTATTCTACTAAGGGAATCTGTCAAATTTTGTTTTTTACTGAATATGCAAAATATGTCATCAACGTATCGAATCCATAGTTGTGGTTTGTTTTTTGTAAACCGTGTAAGTTTCTTTACCAAATTAAAGTTAAAAATATCAGTCAGGACCAATGTGAGAGGTGATCCCATTGCAACACCGTCTTGTTGGATATAGTTTTTATCCAAAAATTTAAAAGGAATATTAATCATATATAATTTAAGTAAATGTTCGAATTGGTCTTTATTGAATGGACAGT